TATATACACTAAATTTATTGACTCGCCTATAGAATTTAGGTAAAAACCTTTGTTAAGCATGATAACAAATGTACCATTTCTAACTGCAAGGTCAGTTGTTCAAACACGCCAACCACTCCTCAAAAGCTGCTGAGTCAGAACCGACTCAAAAGCACTTAACAACAACAACAACACAAACTGTTAGCTACGAAAGTCCAAGCTCAGTTGTTTTGTTACTGTTGTTAAGTGCCATTGAGTCAGTTCTGACTCATAGCGGCCCTGGATGGGTTTCCAAGGAGCAGCAGTTTGAACCACCAATCTTGAGGGTTAACGTATAGTGCTGATCCTACAGCGCCACACCAGGACTCACCAAACTCAGTACATCCCCCATAATCAGCCAAAGAAAATACTTTCTCTTCAAGCCCATTGTTTTCGTTTTTATTACAAATGTATTACACAAAAAGTTTGGTTTTATATATTCAAATACAAATATATACAGACATCTGTGTGTATATTCTAAACTGTGCACTGAGAAAGCTGCAAAAGAGAGCTGTGCTTGACTGGTCTGACAGAAGCTAGGGTCTGAAGAAAATAGTTTTGCCAAACAAAACAGAACTAACTATAGCTAAAATAATAAGCTATGGAATACCCAGGGTGACAAAGCACTGGAGTTACAGTTGAAAACACAGATACAGTGACTACATGCCTCCTTACACAGAGATCCCTAACTGACTATGCTTAGCCCTTTCCTAGTGGCCCAAAACCTTTCCACAAAAGTCACCGTAAGTACATGGTACCACATCACTGAGGCAAACGGACCCCAGTATTGTCTTCTTTGCTGGTCTTGTAACAACTGTTCCTTCCCTATCAGACCATTTTCTCACCCTCCACAACTGCCCAAACCTGACTGACTCTGGCACTTGTTCCTGATCTCTAATCTCAGTTTGGGAAACCAAACCAAAACCCTGTTACAGAACTGAATCCAAAATAAAGAGAAGAGACCTGACCTATGGATGTGGCCCCTATTTGGCAGAATTCCTTTTTCTTAAATACATTTCAGAAAGCAGAAGCCATCAGATAAAGTATTTCTATAAAACTGCTTATTTTAATGCTAATGAAAATGGAATTCTATGTTCAGGTGGAAGTTTGAACAACAAATCTGACCTTTGTTCTTTCTGAATCATAGAGGACGAACATGCCAAAGGGAATCAATGATAACCACAGAGAACAGAAGGGAAAGCCTCTGACGGAGGGAGTTTTATTAAATCTGGGAGCCAGAAACTGAATGGACAGGGAGGGATTTAAAAAAAAAAAAAAGGTGAGAGGTTGCATTCTAGAATGTGCTAAGCAGAAAACTGCAAAGGAGAACTGTGGTTAGCTGGTTAGACAGAGGCTAGGGAAGCGCAGAGCGTGGTGTGAACAGTGTAAACTCTAGAAAGAACAAAATAAAGGCCCATGTATCTCAAACACCACCACCACCAGGCTCTCCTCTCCCATCATTCCATTCCAGACTAAAGTGCGGGCAGTCAGTGTGCACACTGACTGAAGACTAGCTGTCTCTCTCCTAAGGTGGAGGGACACACTACAGCTGCTAAGTGAGTGCTACAGCCTTTCTCGTTCAAGGCTTTAGGGGACCTGTGGACTCACAGCTGGTCTCGTGGACGCATCCTATCACACCACCTGTCAATCGCCCTGCTTCTTCTCACCATTAATTTCTCCTGACTTATACTGATCTACAAGGTTTTCTGTTTTGTTTTTAGTCCAAATAAAAACTTTATTGAGAATCAAAGTCAAATCCTTTACAGAACATAGAAATATGTAACATCTTAGCCCTTCCCTTCCCAATAAGTGACAATATAACACTGGGGAGGGCTTACTGATATCCCAAACAAGCTTGCTTCTCTCTATGGGAGACAAACAGCTCTTCCTGAGCTCAACAATACTAAGAATACAGAAATGGGGTGCCCTGACCTGCTCAGGGGAAGCAGAATGGAATCAGATCCAGTATCAGTAATAAAAAACTCCAGATGAGCCAAAGGAACAGACAAATAAATATATGTTCCCGCTTCACATTTGGTATTTCAAAATCAGGTAGTGGGAGGTAAGGCTTTACAAGATTAGACACAATTAACCAGAAGATGTGAGTGCAGAGTGTGCCTCTCAATCCAGTTACTTGGTGGTGGTGGTGGTGGTGGTGGTGATGTGCCGTGGAGTTGGTTCCAACTCATAGCAGCACTATATAGCGTTTCTAAATCTTTACGGGGAAAAGAAAGCCTCATCTTTCTCTCGTGGAACAGCTGGTAGTTTCAAACTGCTGGCCTTGAGGTTAGCAGTCCGATTCGTAACCACTACTGATTAATAACCATTACTCTTGTTGTTGTTGTTAAGTGCCGTCGAGTCGGTTCCGACCCATAGCGACCCTGTACAGGGTTTCCAAGGGCGTAAATCCTTACGGGAGTAGAAAGCCTCATCTTT